CCATAATAATGTTCTTACCTGATCCTCATCCCATTGGGAGACTATAGTAAGACTCTCTTCCCAGTTTTATTTAACTATGGCATAATTTGACAGCTGTAGTTTATCTCCTACTGATTATGTTCCTAATTTGTCCTCAGTCTATCTGTGAGACAAGCTTAAGTTGCCATGAATTGAATTGGTGACTTTCCAAACACCATTCAAGAGCAACCTCAAGGGATTATATATTTATTAGACTCAGCCATCCGTAATGGTAGACAGAAGTCAAGTGTCTGTAATGATTGGATACAGAGGGAGTTGAGGCATGAGAAGATTTAGCAGTGGGGCAACAAATTTTATGCCAGTTTAGTTTTCTGCTGACTCCAGCTTGAATGAATAGCATTTCATCTGAGTTATAGAAAAAAGACCCAGTAGCAAAATGTGGTTATGTTGTAGTGAAGTAGAAATGAGCGAAGAGCCCTAGTACTGCAGTGGTTAGAATGCGGTATCACTAGCAAACTCTCCCACAGCCTAGATTTTGATCCTGATGGGCTCAAGATTGACTCAACTTTCCATCCTTCTGAGGGTCAATAAAATGAGAACCCTTTTGTTGGGGGCAATACGCTGACATTTAAACTGCCCAGATAGTACTGTAAAGAACTATGGGGCAATATATAAGTCTAAGTGCCATTGCTGTTGCTAAATGAGGAAAGGGTTTCAGGCATATTCATTATCACCTTGGTGATAGCTAATTTCATGCATCACAATAACTGTAAGTTTCTTTTAATTCTGGTTGTTGTTGTTGTTTGGACAAAGAATTTAGAAATGAACCAAAGTCAAGCAAGTTTTTGTTTTGTTTTTCAGCTAATATTGTTTTCCAATTCTGTAAAACTGTCACTGCTTCAGCAGAGCTAAAACCAAAAAATAAAGCTAGGAGACTATTGTAACTATGTGACCTCATTCATATTTCATACTAAAATATAGTTGTAACCATTAAGTTAGCAATGAACCATAGTTTCAAGCCATATTTTATTACTCTAAAATCAGTCATGTTTTCATGGTATAAATCCAAGTTGCATCTCTAATTAATCAAGAAGTAAGCAATCCCTTTAGTATAATGTGCAAACCATGTGGACAGATAAAGGACACAAGTGTTTAGAGAGGTTCAAAATTTTAGCTCCAAATTCCTTACAGCTCCCTTGCCTCATTCTGTACCACTCCAACAGCTTTATTCCACTTTTTTTTTTTAAATCATTTGTTAGACAAATGAAAATGTGTGTTCCCCTGCTTCCATATAAATCTGATTTAGCACATTTCAAGTAGACTAATATGAAGGAGCAAAATATTGCCCAGTACACAGCCACATTTTCACTATCAATTCACTATCAACTTTCAGGCAATAGAAAACTGCCTTCCTTCCTTCCTTCCTTCTTTCCTTCCTTCCTTCCTTCCTTCCTTCCTTCCTTCCTTTCTTCCTTCCTTCCTTCCTTCCCATAAAACAACCCAATCCCAGAAGACTACATTTCCCCACCACCACCACCACAGTCTTTTCCACTTCGGTTTTCATCAAGTAACTTTGGTTATTTTGTTCTTTTCTCCCAAATCTATCTTTGTCCAAGATCCACTCTTGATATTACTAACAATGATAAAAGTTTGCTCCACGCTCAAAGCTTCTCATCAACCTGTATCCCTCACTAATTGTCTTGATTTTTTTTTATCATAGACAATCACAAAACACCTGGAGGCAGAACAAGAAGCAACAGATGGAAATTAATCAAGGAAAGAATCAACCTAGAACTAAGGAGAAATTTCCTGACAGAACACTTAATCAGTGGAACATCTTGTCTCCAGAAGGTGTGGCTGCTCCATCACTGGAGGTTTTTAAGAAGAGATTGGACAACCATTTGTCTGAAATAGTATAGGGTTTCCTGTTTGAGCAGGGGATTCAACTAGAAGAGCTGCAAGGTTATTCTGTTCTGTTCTATTCATTTATTTGCCATAAATATGAAGAGAGCTCTGCTTAAACCATGTGTTTGAAAGAAACAGAGCATATTTTGGCTCACTAATGCAAACACATTTCATGCTTATTTCATTCCGTGCAGCCTAGAAGTTCTACAGTAATCTGAAAATCACAAGCTGGTAGGCTATTGTAAGCTTCCTTTCAACTAGAATGTAGTGAGATGTATTGCCATATAGTCCAGAGAGAAGTGTTCAAGTTTGTTAAAGCTTACTGTGTGCAAAAGGAAGCAGATATATTCTTGCTAAAACGGAAAACAACCAGAGGATTGAATGTAAAAGAAAAGGACGTAAGGCTGAGAATTATGAACTATTAAGTAGTGGAAAAATCCCTTGAGTAAAGTAACAGACTCCCATTTGATTGAGTTTTTTTAGAAGAGATTGGGAATTGAGTGGCATACAAATGTAATAAATAATAATAACAAAGATTGTTTAGTGTTTGCATGTATGTGTGCATATGTGTATGCATAATCAATTTGATATGATTATATATAAAAGAACTGTGGTGGCGCAATTATTGGCAGTTTTGCAGGCTGATTCAGCCAACCGCCAGCAATTCAATCCTGACCAGTTCAAGGTTAACTCCAATCCTTCCGAGGTTAGTAAAATGAGGACCCATATTGTTGGGGACAATATGCTGACTCTGTAAACTGCTTGCAGAGGGCTGTAAAGCATTACAAAGTGATATATAATTTTAAGTGCTATTGCTATTATGAACACACATATACAGGTAGCCCTTAACTCACATCCATAACTGAGCTCATAATTTTTGTTGCTACATGAAACATTTGTTAATTGAGTTTTACCCCGTTTTCCAACTTTTCTTGCCACAGTTGTTAAATGAATCACTGCAGTTGTTAATCTAATAACACGGTTGTTAAGTGAATCTGGCTTTCCCATTGACTTTGCCTCCTAGAAGGTCACAAAAGCTGATCACAACACCACTGGATACTGCAACTGTCATAAATATGAATTAGTTGCCAAGCATCTGAATTTTGATTATATGACTACGGAGATGCTGCAATGGTCGTAAGTGTGAAAAATGATTATAAGTCACTTTTTTCAATGCCATTATAATGGATTGTTATAAATTGAGGACTACCTGTATTTATAATAAGCAGAGTGTAGAAATTGATCATATTAGACTAAACTATAAGCAAAAACACTGAAGAAATTGCAATAGAATCTCGTGGTCTTTCTCTGGTGATTGAGATAGCATACAAATCAATCAATAAAAATAGATAAAATATCATTTTTATCTCTATTTCACTGCAAGCTTTTTAAAAAGATTCTTAAAATCAGCCAATTGAACTTGACCGATCCAGAAGAGTAAATATGAGATAAAATGCATGGGCAGGACAATTGTCTGAATATAGATTGGTTCAATCCTGAATGCCTTATTAAACAATGGAGACCAATCTTTCAAAGCTCTGTCTGAAACAGCACGGGGTTACTTTGAAATCTGAACAACATGTAATAGCAGCATGATAAGTTCATTTAGCTTTCTGGTCATAATAGATTGTTAAAGTGTGATATATTACTCTTGAATTGGATGAATGCTAGTCAGAAATTCACTTATCAAATTTGCAAGAACATTGTGTCCTGAATGTTTATATATTCCGTTTCTGTAATTTTATAATTAATTCTTATTCTATGAGGTGAATATGTTCCAGATTTCTGAGCACGTGCCTCTTTCGGGTCTGTAAAGTTCACTCACCCACAAGTGCTTTAGTTGCTACCCCATATCTGCTGAGTAGATGCATAGAACATGAGTCACAGTGATGATGCACATCAAACACAAGAGCAGGAAGAGTAGTCAAAATCTTTCAGCCTGATTTGCCTTGTGCCATGTCAGGGTGACTCTAAAAAAGCGAATAAATGATATGGCATTGCCTTATAAAAAGATCTGTCTTTTTGCTTTAGAATTTGTGTCAATTGTTGAAACATTATCACGTGATAAGGTGTGATGGTTTTGTGTTTCATCCTTCTTAGGACTGGCTAGTTTTCATTCTTCATGATCATAAGAGCTGCCCTGGATAAACTATGCTGGGGTCATTATAAAGTGGCACATAACTTTAAACCATCTTCCAATGGGGCTTTTTTCTTATAACGGTTCAAACAACAAGACTTTCACAAGACTTTAAAACAGTGCTCTCCAAACTTGGCAACTTTAACTGCCAAACTGGGCAACTTTGACACTTGCGGACTTCAAATCCCAGAATTCCTCAGCCAGCCAACTTATAGAGTTGAACTTCATAGGTCTTAAAGTTGCCAAGTTTGGAGACCCTACTTTAAAATGAGACAAAGAACAGTTCATTCCCAGGGCATAACATAGTGTAACCATAACCCACAACTTCCCCTTTTACATCTGTGTCTTAGAATTTCTCAGGGACTTCTGTAAACTGTGCCTCTCAAATATAATCCAACAAGTGTCAGCTCACAAATTAGTATAATTAATTCAGAATTCCACATTGTTAGATTTTCTTGCCTGTTGTTGTTTATCTTCTCAGGGTTTGGGGTGTGACAGAATGGCTGAAAAAACCAAGCCACGTTTCTGATGTGAAGAAAGGGAGGACAGTTCTACCTAGACCAGGGGTGTCAAACTCTCAGCGTCATGTTGTCGTCACGTGACATATCATGACTTTTTTACCCTTTGCTAAACCGGGAATGGATGGAACCAGAACGTGACGCATCTGGCCCATGGGCTGTGAGTTTGATACCCCTGACCTAGAGTGATTTATCTCAGAGTAGAGATGCGGGCAAGCACAGGAAATAGGAAGTGTTAGAGAAGGTTTCTTATCTATGTATAAACACACTTTCGTATTACGTATATTTAGCTTGCTATCCTCAAAACTTTCTCAGTGACATGAATATCATGTGTTACTCACATGTTTTTCATGACACCTATCTGACCCCAGTCAGTTCAGTAGTTTCACTAGTCCAGAGTTCCTATCATGAAAAAATGTCTACAGTAGGAAACAACAGGAGAGAAAAAAAAATACTTCATGTGGTTTTTGCTGTCACTCGACTTTATTAGTCTAGTAGAGCCCACCTTACATGGACATCAAAAATCAAGTTATTTTACTATGTATTGATTCTGAATTTATGTTATGAGCAGGTTCTGAATGATGTAAAAATTGCCAAGAGTATTTCTGTTATACAGCATTTGAATATCCTTGTAAAGATTCTTTCTCCAGTGTTACCTTCTCTGAGAACTGCCAGAAAAATCTTGACAAGTTGATTTTGCATAATTGCCTGTAAAAGAAGCAGAGTAAGCCTTACATTGAGGTATAACAAGGACTATCTCAGCAAAATTGGAAAGTTCTGTGGGACAGGTATTGCAACAGAAATTTAAGGAGTTATGAGGAAGTGAGAATATTGTAAAAATCAATTATATACTCATAACTGAGTCAGAAGCCCTTGCTCAGGTGGAGCAATTCTACTATGCAGTCAAGAGAATAAAGTCATTACTTGGGGGAAGCATCCCAAACCCTATTCATCAATTTTAATTCAGAGGAGGCAGTTTAGGATGGCAATTAATTATAATATAGAAAGTGAAAAAATATCATTTAAAAATCAAATGTATATATTTCTCAATTCAGGTACTTTGTATGATTTACAGTTGTTGAAAATGCAGAAAACAATTTAAATGTATCTCATGAAATACAAGTTTATTTTGAATTTCTTTGAGAGATAAGATGATTGTTGTGTTTTGAAATGTCTGATTTTGATTCACTTCACCCAGTAATATCATTGTTGTGCCAATGTTTTTCCAGTGCTGAAAGAAAGACTTATATTTCTCTTTGTCATTTCAAAAAGAAAAATCAAAAAGAAATGAGCATAATGGATTAGCAACTGTTTAAAGTTACGGCAGACCTCCTCAGGGCTACTTACAATCCAGTTTCAAAGTTATAACAGTCATCCCCTCCTCTGCCATCACATTATTGCACTGTTTTGTACTCTGTTGTGCTTCAACATCTATAGGTATGTAGTGTAAATTTGCTGAAGCAGCCATTTGGATGGCACTTTCAATGCATAGCATTCTGTCATTATTTGTGGCAAATAGGGAGTATTTTTGGGAGAGTTGGAAGACACCATTTCTATCAATAGAAGCTGTAAAATATGTGCGACAACAAAGGCAAGACCTGGCAAACCGCTTGGTTTGTTACAATTGATTACAAACCCCAATAGACCATGGGACGAAATAGGGATGGACTTTATCGTTGACCTGCCCGAGAGTAAGGGCCATACAGTTATATGGACAATAGTTGACCTCTTTTCCAAGCAGGCTCATTTCATCCCTTGTCGGGGTTTGCCTTCAGCAAGGAAGCTAGCACGCTTATTTGTACGTCATATATATCGGTTGCATGGTGCTCCTCATCGGATCATATCAGATAGAGGCGTACAATTTACAGCACGCTTTTGGCGGGAGTTCGTCACCATGATAGGGTCATCCCAAGGGTTGAATTCGGCTTATCACCCGAGCACTAATGGGGCTGTAGAGAGGGCCAATGCTATGGTGGAAAGATATTTACATTGTTATATTTCTTATCAGTAGTCTGACTGGTCAGACCTCATACCGTTTGCTGAGGTAGCATATAACAACGCGGTACACCAAAGTATTGGCGTTACACCATTTCAGGTAGTCTATGGTCAAGAGTTCACTGCGATCCCTGAACTCGAAATAGAAGAGCAAGAACAAGTGTCTCCCAGGGAATGGGGGGTACGGATTAGACACCTGTGGCCGAAAGTCAAAGAAGCGTTACAGAAAGCGTCAAAAGAGTATAAGCTATATGCTGACAGGAAACGAGCGGATCATAAGCCATTCCAGGTGTGGGACCAGGTATATGTGTCTACTAAATACATCAAGCTGAAAGTACCCAGTAGAAAACTAGGTCCCAAATACCTTGGCCCATTCACTATTACGAAAGTCATAAACCCGGTAACAGTTGAATTAAAGTTGCCATCTTTACTGGGTAAAGTTCACCCGGTATTTCACAGTAGTCTGCTAAAACCTGTGGATGGTATACGAGACCCTCTAGAATGTCCAAGGCCGCTGGGTGGGGATCAATATGAAATCGTCAACATACTAGACTCCAAATTAAGCAGAGGAAAGCTTAAATATTTAGTACAATGGAAGGGCTACCCGTTGGAGGAGGCATCCTGGGTTCCTGTTGAAAACCTTAAGGCGAATAGGCTGAGGAAAATGTACCACAGAAAATATCCTCATAAACCTGGAGGTGGCAGAAAGACGGACGGTAAACGAATCTATACTAACCCTTTCCTTTATGTCTTCCAGGTGGACTCCTGGTAGGGGGAGCCGCCTGTCAAGACATCCCATGCTCGACACACTGGGGATAAGAGCAAAGCAAAGAGCTCACCATGCAAAACCAGAAACACTTTGGAAGGATTGTGGGCTGCAATGGGGGGAAGGGTATATTCACGGTGATGGGGGTGCTAGAGGCTCGGTAGGCGGACGGTCACCCTGCGGCCGGGATAGGGGCCATTCGGGTGTTTGTTACCTCCTGTTGACACATCCGGGTGACATGGCAGCTTGCGCAAGTGCGGAGCTGGAAACCCGGAAGCATAGCCAATTGGATGACTGAGTGGCGCAGCTATTTAAACGGCGTTGGGTTGCGGTAGATCCCAACACCGACTTTGTGTTATCATATATTGAACTCAGCGTTGTCTGTGGCAAACCTGGAGAGCAAATAAATCTGTTTCCTGTTTGAAGTTTCATTCGGCTGCAGCGTGGTTTGTTAAACTGCCCAGGTTTTGCTGAGCGGTCTGAGATAGATAAATCAAGAAATAGATAAACATGATATACAAAGCATGTATTTCCACTTTGCTGGCTGAGAAAAATCAAATGCACCTTCTTACTGGGGTTATTTTCTTTTTTAAAAAATCAGAATTTAGAATCTGATAGATGTTGTATCTACTCACAATAGGAATTCTAAAGTAATCCTGCCACATCATTTTTCTAACTTCTGGAATAATGTAATGTGGGGTAGTCATTCCACCAATAGCTGACATTCTGTTCAGTAGGATACACATACATCTTTTCATATTACATCTGAAGCAGGATTTTTATTTCCTGGGAAGAACTCTAACCAATGTCATCTATGCTCTTATTTATATTATTGTATCTTCTAACATGAAAGAAATACATAGTAGGATTTCTGGCCTTATTAAAAGTTGGTGAAGGACCTTTCCTTTCTTCTAATTCACATGTATATAAACTAATTATATTATACTAATTATATATTATATTATACTAATTATATTTATATAGTATATAAATATACTAATATAAGTATATTAGTGTATAAACTAATCAGAGCTTTGAAGAACACTTGGTGCTTTTATAGAATTAACAATGTCAGAATGCCCAGAGGAACCTTTGATTTTAGATGAATTATCTGTATAGTCCAAGCTGCTTCATATGATTTTAGAAGAAACTTGGGGCTGTTGTCTTTTTATTTTTATTTTTATGTAAAGCTCACACTTGATATATTTACAAGACAATAAGCATTACCTTTTGAAATGGCACCCTGATCCTTGATTGTATAAAACAGTCTTTCAGATTGCTGGTGCAGGCTGGCCATAAGAAAACATTGATGATTATATTTGTATCGTAATATTGCCATTTTTGCTGGAGGGAGAATCCAATTCTCCTAGAAGAGTGACTAAGAGAGAGTTCAGTTTTATCAGATTAATGACTCACAGAATTCATCACTTTGCAAATGTATGACTCTTCCTTTTTGATTCATGGATTTTTCATTCTTTTCCTTGAATGTAATTTGTAACATGTGGTCAGGCAGTGACACATACTATATATTATGCTATGCAGGCTTAATATGTAAAGAAACACACCTTGAAAAACAATGTAAACTCATATTCTCTGACAGATATTGAAACACATCAGTTCAGATAGCGTTGGCTAAAAAAGACCAAATGAGACATAACTATAAGATGATTCAGTGAATATTTAACTCCATTTTATGAGCCTGGAGTTAAATACGTCTCTCTCAACAAGAGCTTTTTGTCTCCTAGGTGCTTTTATGTATTCATGAACATGAAATACATTGGATGACTGAAATCTCAGTAGTTGTGATATATCATCATCTTTTTTTTCCTCTAGTAGTGCTTCTGCATGGCATACAAAGCAAGTTATGAAGAATTTTCTAATGTAGAGGAGAAGTGGTATGAAATACCTTATTACTGAGAATTGGAGTATAAATATAACATGTTCAGACTGTAAATGTTGATATCTAAATTATAGTTATTTATCACTAGACCTTCCCCTGTTTTTTTCTTTTTACCATAGACTATTTTTATTCCTGTAATACAAAGTGCTTCTTATACAAGCTGAACATGTTGAAGCTGTTTATTAAACATAAGATACATAATAAAAACATTACATGGGAAACTATATCCAGTAGAAAGAAAGCAGGAAAGGAAAACAAAATCAGAAAGAAAAACAATTGATCCAACATTTACACAGAGCAATTGTTGGGATTTTCAAGAAGGGTTATTAGACACCCTGCCATTCTAGACACATGCAGTAGAATCTCCCGTAATAATCACTGGGTTCCATCAGATCTGTAACCATGAAAATTACTGATGAGGTATCAGGTCCAAAGTTGGTATAGATTCTTATAGATAGAACATAAACCACCCTGATTCAGGCTTGGAATCTAATTAGCATCTTGTACTGTTGCTTCTACTCAGTCCATTTAACAACTTAGACACTTTTTGTAACTGTACTAAATACACAGGTAATTACACAAACAGCAGTTTACAGTAACCTAGGTATGAAATTGCAAGTGGATGGACATTATAAGCTGGACTGTTTCTGTGTAGGAAAGTTTGTAATAGGTGTTCCTAGTCATGGGAATGATTGGAGCTTCCAATGGCATCCATAGGAGGGAGATCAAAACGATCAAGTTCGTTGTTCTGACATGTCTTTTCACATGTTCATGTGACACAACAAACATATAAAAGTGATCGGGCTTTGATTTGCATAGTTGCAACCATCTTGACTTTTTAAATCTACCCTGTGGACTCCTGTGGAAATGAATTTAGGCACATTCTCAAACTAGGTATTAGCTGTTTCTGACAATGGTTAATTCCCTCAAAATCAGGCATATTTCCCAATTTGTGCTCTTGTGAATCAACCATCACAATGTCTCCATCTTATTGATTGATTCTCAATGCATTGGTTCTCATTCTCTGTATCATTTATAATTCATTAT